CCATGGCCCTGGCCGAATTGCCAGGGGCCAGGACTGGTGGCCAGACCTCCTGTAAAGGAGAATAAAATGACGCTCTGGCCACCCTCCGGGCCCGGTCTTTCTGCTGGACACTGGGGAGTTTCTGCTGCAGTCCACACAGTGCACCGGGAGACAGGCGGGGCGTGGCGTCCGTCACAGGGTCCTGCAGGGCTGAATGTCGTTAGGCGCCCACTGGTCCCCATCTCTCAGGCTGCAGGAGCCACCCCGAGTGCCCCAGTCCCACTGTGCCCAGGATTCATGCTCCCAGCAGGACCCCTGGATTCGGCCCTTAGGCAAAGGCCCTGCTGTGACCCAGGCTGAGATTCAGGGTGAGGGGGCTGGAGAGGTCACCTTTGAACCCAGGATGAGCACTCTCCCTACTGTGTTGGGTGCTGTGTGCCAAGCCCGGCCCCCCAGCACTCTGCCATGGGGACAAGGAAGCCTCAGAACATGGCAGCTGCTCCAGGGGACCCCAGCCCCACTCTGCGGCCACCGACCCCCCTTCTCCCCAGTCACTGAATCAAACTGCCTGAGTGCGCGGCCCCTGCCCCTGCACAGGCCCGAGAGCCCAGGAACCCAGGTCTGGGGGGCTTGGAGCCTAGGCAAGGGTTGAAGAGAGCTGGGGCACCCTGGGGGACTTGAATTCGGACCTCTCTGCCCCGGTTGGGCTCTAGCGGGCGGAGCTGGGTTTGAGGACAGAGCTGCCCATGGGGTCGGGACAGCAGAGGAGCCACATACGGTCAGGCAGCGACCAGGCGGCTGGGGAAGGGGCTCACCAGGAGGAACAGCCCGATTGGAGCCTGGGCACAGGTCACAAGGAGGCTGCCTGGCTAGCCCGTGTGGTGTGAGGGTGGCTCTGTGGGTGGACGGGCTTGCCAGTTGGCATTGGGAGATTGGGGACCCCCTTCATGTGCTCCCCAGGGGAGCAGCAGACTTTGCAGGTGACCAGTGTAGGGCGGGCGCGATCAGGAACCACAGAGTGGCACCCCCACCCCCGAGTGTGTCAAGGCCAGCCTGGGTCACGAGGTCAGAGGGGGGCCCAGACCCTAGACCCGCCTGGGCTCCTGCCCCAGGGTTCAGCTGGGAATGGGAAACCCTCCCGTGGGGTCGAGACCGCCTCTGCTTCAGGAGTCCACAGGGAGCCCCAGTCTTGGCCACACCCACTCAGGCCCAGCACGCAGCTGCCCGCACAGTGGCAGGGGCCTTCCAGGGAGGCCCACCTGTCCACCCTCGCTGGTCACGCTCCTCCCAAGGCAGGCAGCAAGGGAGAGACAGGCCCAGCAGAGGAGGCCAACGGTGGCCAGTGCGGTCCCCCCGGCAGGGACAGTGCTTCTCAGGTACAGCCTTCTCTCCTCGGGCGCAGCAATGCAAGCCTCAAATTAATCGGCAGCCCAGGGCCCTGGAACGCAGGCCTGGGTCTTGTGTGGCTGAGCCCCAGGACCTGCCAGGCACCGCCAGCCCCCAGGACAGCCCCTTCCCCATCTTACCCAACCCGGGCAGCCACCTGGGCCAGGCACACTGTGAGGCCAGTGCAGGGCACAGACAGCCCAAGACCACCAGGCCCCGCCCGCTGCCCTCCTGCCCCGCCTCACCCAGCGTGGCTTCACCGAGCACTCTTGTCCCCCCGGGACATCTGGAAGCTTCTACCAGAAGCCGGCTCTAGCCATGGGGGTGGGGGTTACTCCCCATGTCACAGCCCAGCCCGAGGGGCCCAGCGCCCCACACACCTGGCTCTGCGGCCTCCCTGCCTCTGCCTCCAGGAGGTGCTCCCATATTCAAATCCTGGGGGCCCCTGGCCCACCCCAGCCCCGCAGCAGGTCCCGGGGAGGCTCGGGGTAGCTCGGCTGGCCCCTGCGCCCTGGAGCCTTGTGTCCTAGGGCCATATCTCTGCTGTGCAGAGAGTCTCATCCCGCACCCCAAGCACGCAGCCTGCACCCCTCTTCCTGGCCTGTGCCCCTATCTGCGCCCCTCGTCCCACACTCCCAGCCCGGTCCCCTGGTCCCCAACCCCGGCCGGGGACAAGGCTGTGATCTCTGGCCAGGTCCTCTGACCCACACGCCCATGGGGTGGGGCTGCCCACATCCCCCCATCTCTGCCTCACGCTGCCACCCTGTCCCTGGCAGTAGGCGCAGGCACCCCCGGGACAGCTGCAGGCGGCTTGCGGGCACCCCTTTGAAGCCAGGAGGGCCAGGCGGGGATGGGTCACACCCGGGGGTGTTGGAGCCTGGGCAGCCCTTTCAAGTTAGCCGGGCTTTACAGGGAAGCAGCTTATCACCACCGGGGCAGGGCCAGGGAGGACTGTGGGCCTGGACCCGTGCCCACACCCTGCCCCGCCATGCTGAGCCTCCCCCAGGCACCGCCGTCTCCTACTCAAAGGGCCTGGCCTGGGGGCCGTCCTGAGGACACAGCTGGGTCCCCTCTGCTGCCTCCTGGGCTGCAACCCCCACCCCCACAACCTGTATCCCCAGGAGCCCAGGATGGAGCTGGGGACGGGTGCCCAGCCCCGTTCCTGTCCCTGCAGTAGAGGCTGCCCCATGACCTTCCTGTGGTGGCCAAGGGCGCGGGACCTGGTCTTGCCCATGTGAAGGGTGACGGTGGAGGAGCCAGGAAGCCCCAGGTGCGGCCCCTCCCTGGGGAGACGGCTGCCACTCTGGGCTCCTCCCTTCTCCCTGGACCCCCTGGGTCGCCCTGCCCCTCAGACACCATGCCCCTGCCCCACCCTTGCAAGGGCACTGCCCGGAAGCCCGCTGGCCCCCGAGGAGCCTCCCAACGCGTGTCTGTCTCTTCCTGGGCCTGGAGCCCCCATGGTGCAATGGTGTGCAGGTGCCCCGTGCAGCGCAGGTGAGACGGGGCCCACAGAGCGGCACCCCCACCTCCCACAGGCCCCACCCGGCCCTTTGAACCTCCCAGCCAGTGAACCTGGGGTGCAGGGCCCCCCATCTTTCAGGTGCTTGGCCAGGGCGGACCACTGTCAGAACCACGTCCTGCCCTCTGTCCTGCTGGCCACACTCACGCCCTGGGAGCCTCTGCCCGCCTCTTGCCTCAAGTCCTTGAAGCACACAGGGGCTCTGTGCTCCCAGTCCTCCTGCACGCGGAGGGGAGGGGAATGCCACTTTGTTCTTGGAAGTGTGGAGGTGCAGATGCGAGGGGGCTGGTGCAGGGCATGGACGTGTGCTTCCGTGACGGAGATGCAGGAAACGGCATCGGGGTGGCCGTGTGGTGGTGGGGGGGCAGGAGCCACAGCCACAGGAGTCCATGGGGCAGGGCCAGGCAAGAGACAGCCAGGAACACCGGTCAGGCTGGAGACCGCAGGAACAGAGGGGCGTCGGGATGAGTGTAAGGGCTCTCGGGACTGGACGGCCAAGGCGGAAGGGTCTAGAGGTCGCAGGGGAGAAAGCAGGGGCTCTAGGCAGCCCCTGAGGAAGGCTAGGGAAAGACTGAGGGGTCTGAGCTCCAGGCTGTTGGCCTGGGGGTGGCCGGGGCCCCATGGACAGGAGATGGGTCTGTCCTAACTCCTTGGGGCCCCCCCTGCCCAGCCTGGCATCCAACATGGCCACGGCGTGACAAAGTCCAGAGCCCAGGACCCAGAGGCTGGGCTGTGCCAGGCCTGTCCTGTCTGTCAAGGGCCACACAGCACCAGTCAGCACCTCCCGTGGGCAGGTGTGAGATGGGCTGGACCACAAGTCGAGGATGGCCCTGAGTGGGGCCTGGACCTCAGAGCAGGCAGGGTGCAGGCGTGGGGTCTGCGGTCCCAGTGTCTCCTTCAGAGGCTCTGGGGGACAGCCCTCTCAGACTGCCCATCCCTCTGCCCACTTCCTGGGGAGTGGCAGCCTGTCCTCTGCAACCCCATGACCTGCTGCCTGAGGCCTTCCTGCTGTCCAAGGTGGCCAGACGCCTGAGGTCTCCCTTCCACCCTCCCCTACTCCAGACTGAAACCCGACCAGGCGTCGGCCTGCAGCCTGCCCTGTCTGGGGAACATCTGTTTGGCTGCCAGCTGTGGGCCGCCTGGAGCCCCCACTGCCCCCCAGTCAGGGTGGCCAGGCCTCCCACAGCACCCACCAGCCACACGCAGCCCTCACCAGGGCCATGCCTGAAGCTGTCACCACCCACAGTCAGGACTTCCCTCAGGGGAGAGGAGTAGGGTCTACCCTGGGGAGGACAGAGGACAGAAAGGGGACATCTTGAAGGCCATGGGGTCCTCAGAAGCCCCAGCTGGGGAGAGGTCCCTGACACCTCTCCCCAGAGCCCACCTGTCATCTTTGAAGCCAGGCAGGGTGAGCTTCCTCCAGGGAAAAGCTCTCAGAACCAGCGTGGGTCAGGAAGTACCCTGCATGCCAGCAAGGCCAGGCTCCGGGAATGCCACAGGCCTCACGCTTTGCTGAATGCACGAGAGGCCTCGGTGCCTTTTCTTACGAGGCTAATGGAACCCCCGGGCAGGCAAGGGCCCCGGGTGGAGCTGGCAGCCCCAACCCCTCCTGCTGACTGGGTAAGATGGGGGCGGCCACCGTCACAGCACTGCAGGGTGGCAGGGAGGGCATTTGGACGGAGCCCTGAGGTCAGAGGTGACCTGAGCCTGGCCCCACCCCCAGTTCCGAGGCAGGTCTGCTGCTTCCCGTAGGGCCACCCACTGCAGAGCGGCCGAGAAGTGACCAGGCCCTGCACTGAGGGCCACAGGGGCCAGCCCCGGGACACAGAGAGGGTGCGAATCCGACAGGGGTGCAGGACGCTGGCCTGGCCAGGCACGTGGGTAGTGCTCACACCCACCACCACCTGAAGCCCAGTAGACCCAAACTCTACTGCCGGGAGGTGCAGATGACAGACCTGGAGACCCTCAGGTCTCAGCCCCTGTGGCTCCGGCCCAGCAAGGGGACTCCAGGAGGGCTGGGCTGCTGGTTCGAGAGACCAGGCCTGACACACAAGCACAGATGTGAGCACACACGAGCATGCACATGCACACACAGACACGGGCAGAAACACCAGCCTGGAGAGAAAGGATGCACTTTCATGTTTAACAAAATAAATTAAATATACGGGGCTTCAGCTCAAACTCTACATAAAATTACAGAGATCTGGGGCCACCACGACAGTGGGGTGGGGGGTGGTGCCTGGCCTGGACGGGGTGCAGGCATCAGCGTGGCTGAAAGACCAGGCGGGTCCCGGGCCCCAGAAGAGACCACAGTCCCTGCAACCCAGCCCTCCCTCCATCCATCATTATTAATATCATCTTCATGTCGCCTTATCCCAGCACTTTGGGAGGCTGAGACGGAGTCTCGCTCTGTCGCCCAGGCTGGAGTGCAGTGGCCGGATCTCAGCTCACTGCAAGCTCCGCCTCCCGGGTTCACGCCATTCTCCTGCCTCAGCCTCCCGAGTAGCTGGGACTACAGACGCCCGCCACCTCGCCCGGCTAGTTTTTTGTATTTTTCAGTAGAGACGGGGTTTCCCCGTGTTAGCCAGGATGGTCTCGATCTCCTGACCTCGTGATCCACCCGTCTCGGCCTCCCAAAGTGCTGGGATTACAGGCTTGAGCCACCGCGCCCAGCCCATCTTCATTTCTTAAATATAAATACCAAGGCTCCTTCTTGCTGGCAGGGGGAGAATTCGGTGGGAGTGCCATGGGCTCCAGCCTCTCAGGCTTGGGGCTGCTGTGCCCCCAGCCCCAGCCTACAGCAGTAGGGGACTCCTGGACACCCAAGGCAGGTGGCAAAAACAGCCGCGAAGGCCAGGCGAGGGCAGAGGCGGGCAGGGGTGGGGGAGTGACAGTGGAGCAGGGAGAGTCCTTCATCAACTATGAGCCTCACCACACACGCACTGCGGGCCTCGCAGCACACCCTCTGAATAGCACCTCAGTCCGCATGTGTCCAGGCAGCGTATCTGCACATGTGTGCGTGTGTCCGGACAGCATATCTGCTCGTGTCCAGGCAGCGTATCTGCACACGTGTGCGTGTGTCCGGACAGCATATCTGCTCGTGTCTAGGCAGCAAGTCTGCACGTGTGTGTGCGTGTGTCTGGACAGCATATCTGCTCGTGTCCAGGCAGCAAATCTGCACGTGTGTGTGCATGTGTGTCGAGGCAGCGTAACTGCACACGTGTGTGTCCAGACAGCATAACTGCCTGTGTGTCCAGGCGGCCTATCTGCGCATGTGTGTGTGTGTGTGTCAAGGCAGCATATCTGTGCATGTGTGTGCATGTGTCCAGGCAGCATATCTGTGTGTGTGTGTCCAGGCAGCATATCTGTGTGTGTGTGTCCAGGGTACATCTGCATGTGTGTATGTGTCCAGGCAGCATCTTCATGGTGTGCGGTCGAGGCAGCGAACTGCACACGTGTGTGTCCGGACAGCATAACTGTCAGGTGTGTCCAGGCGGTCATCTGCGCCGTGGTGTGTGTGTCCAGGCAGTATATCTGTGCATGTGTGTGCATGTGTCCAGGCAGCATATCTGTGTGTGTGTGATGTGTCCAGGCATGTCCATGTATGTTCTGGCATGTCTGTGTGCATTGCATGCGTTTGAGCAGCATATCTGTGTCCAGGCAGCATGCCTGTGCATGTGCACGCATGCGTATGTGTTCCGGGAACATGTCTGCATGTGCCTGCGTTTAGGCAGCGTGTGTGCGCATGTGTGTGTATACATGCATCCAGGCAGTGTGTGTCTGTGTGTGTGTGTCCAGGGGCTATGCCTCACACAGAGCGCCCGGGGTGCTGGCCATTCCTCCTCGCCATGGGTCCCCCGCCTTCATCTACAGCACCGTCCTCCATCCTCCCAGCCTGCCTGTCTGGCCGGCCCCATGCGCCCACCGCAGAGGCAGTGCCATCTAGCACTGATAGTGGATGTGCTGGTGGACCTTGCCCTCCACATGTGAGTGTGTGTGTGAGTGTGTGTGTGTGTGTGTGTGGATGTCTGTGTAGACTTTGGGGTACAACTTGGGACCAGCAACTGGGCCTGGGCCCAGCAAGTGCTGGGGGGCTGCTGGAGACCCATGCTCCTCACACAGCCCCACACCAGGGCCAGCACTGAGGGCGGCCAACGTGGGAAGGTCCTTGTCTCCACTGCGGTCACGGGCTGTCCCTGGCTGGCGGTGCCCAGGCACGGGAGGGGCAGGAGTGGGGGTGCATGGCTTCTTCTTGGCCTGGCAAAGCCACAGGAGCACGGTGCCCAGGATGAAGACGGCGCCGGCCGGGATGCCGATGACCACGGGCCATGGCAGGCTAGTGGCCGAGGACGAGGAGGCCACAGGTGGCCCTGGTGGTTTTGGGTCTGCAAGAGTGAGAGGAAAGGAGGTGGCGAGGGGAACGCCGGCACAAAGACCAGGAGAGTACCCCAGACCCATCCCGGGGGCTGTGGAGACGGCACCCCTGGGCTGCCCTCCCTCGGCAGAGGACCCGGCCTGTGGAGCCCAGGAGGGAAGGGTGGCGTCCTGCCCGGTGGGTGGGTGGGATGCTGGGCCCAGGGGGCAGGTCCGGGCACCAGCATGGCGTGGCGTGGCGGCCGCGCACCTGGCAGCACAGTGAGGAAGGCGCTGCGGAAGCTGTAGCCCATGGTGTTGGCGCCCAGGCAGATGTACATGCCCGCATCGTCCTGGCGGGCGCGGGTGATGAGCAGTTTATTGAGGTAGGAGCCATCGGGCCGCGACCACACGTCGCCTGTGGGCAGCACCACGAACTTCTGGCCGCCCACATCAATGGTAGAGTTGTGGCGGCCCTCGGCGCCGTACTCCACACGCTTCAGCCACTGGATCACCGGCTTCACGTCGCTGCGCACCTTGCACTGGAAGGACGTAGTCCCCCCGAAGTCCACCGTCGTATTCACGGGGTGCGTGCCTGTGAGCACGGGCTTGGAGCGGGTCCGCTCTGTGGGAACACGGCACGTGGGCATGGCTCCCGGGCCCCGCCAGACTCTACCCGCCAGCACCCCAGGGCCCACCAGCACCCCCAGCCCACCAGCCCCCAGACCCCACCAGCGCCCCCAGACCCCACCAGCACCTCCAGCCCACCAGCCCCCAGATCACCAGCCCCCAGACCCTACCAGCATCCCTGGTCCACCAGCTCCCAGATCACCAGTCCCCAGACTCCACCAGCACCCCCAGCCCACCAGCCCCCAGACTCCACCAGCACCCCCAGACCCCACCAGTGCCCCCAGCCCACCAGCCCCCAGATCACCAGCCCCCAGACCCCACCAGCGCCCCCAGCCCACCAGCCCCTAGACCACCAGCCCCCAGCACCACCTGGCCCGCCAGCCCCCAGACCCCACCAGCACCCCCGGCCCGCCAGTGCCCCAGGCCACACTCACGGATCACATCCACCTTGTAGGTGGCGTTGATGGCACCTGCGCGGTTCGACACACGGCAGGTGTATTTGCCGCTGTCCTCCGGCCGCAGGTTCTTCAGGCTCAGCGTCCACTTCTTCTTCCTGGGCTCAGCGGCCTCTGGGCGCGTCAAGGCCTGGTCGTCCTTCATCCACGTGATGTCGGGCCGAGGGTGCCCACTGGCCACGCACTTGAGCCGCACGGAGCTGCCCACAGGCCGTGCAATCACCCGGCGCCTCATCTTGGAGGGCTGTGTGAAGCGTGGTCGTGCTGTGGGGTGGGGCGGCATGGAGGTCAGAGGATGGGGAAGCGGCCGAGGGGCCAGGACAGACACCCCCCACCCTGGCAGACGGCGGTCCCCTGCTCACCCCACTGCTGGCTGGCAGGGTCCTCTTGACCCCCAGAGGAGCTGTCGGGCCCCAGGCTCTCCTTCCCTGGGCTAATGTCATCTGCAGAGAAACGGAGGTGCACAGGGAGGGCAGGTGAGGGGGGCCCTGAGGAGCACCCCCAATTCTCACATGGCCTATAGTGCCCCCAGCCCCAGCCAGGACAGTCCTGGACACCCAGGCAGGGGGCTGCACCACACACCCACAGCCCAGAATCCCAGGGACAGCTGGGCAAGGGCCGCTGGCCCACACTAGGCGCAGGTGATCCTGACGGGTACGGGTGGGGCTGGAGGGCTGGCCCCCACTCTGGCTCCGGGGGGTCTGCAGGCCCCGGGGAGGAGGGAGCCGGGCCCGGCCAGCAGCTGCGGTAACCCTAGCCTACATCAAGGGGCCGAGGGCTGGTGAACAGACGAGACTCTCATACCTCTCGGTCATCGTCGCCTTTGAAAAGACTGTGGGGTGGGGGTGGGGGACAGCCACAGTTTTCCCATTCCACACAATCTGGAGGGGCAGGGCGTGCTGTGGAATGTCCCTTCCATCCACCCTGTGACAGCCGCTCCTCCACTGAGCCCAGGACCAGGCTGTCTCAGGCCGCACCCCCACACCCTGCCGGGGCCTGGGCCAACCTCCTGCGTTTAGAAACGGGCCAGCCCAGCTCCAGGAGCTCCACCGAAGGGCCCCACACCCAGGAGCCCAGCGGAGCAGGCGGGGTGCCCGGTCCCTAGGTATGGAGGGCGTGTCTCTGGACACCTGTCCAAGCCCCACACCCAGGCCCCAGGCGCAGAAGAGAACAGAAAGGCCAGGCATCCCAGCGGCTCCTCTGAACTCCGAAACCTGAGCCTCAAAGTCACAGCCGACGGCCGGCACACCCTGCCAAGGCCTCGGGCCCCAGCCCTTCTGTGGGACCACGGCCTGCGGCTCCCGGCCTCTGCCCTCTGCCCGCTGCCCTCCGCCCTCCACCCGGAGGAAGGCCCAGAGGCTGGAACCTGATGGGGACAGGAACGGAGCCCAGCCTGGGGGATGGTGGCAGAGGTGCAGTCAGCTGAGGCAGGGCGCCGAAGGAAGGCTTTCTGCCCCGGGCTGGCTGACTCTCAGGCCCCAGGTGTGTCCCCGTCCACCCTCCTGCACGCCCCTGCCTGGCTCCAACCCAGCCCATGACCTCTGACCGCAGCAGCGACTAACCCAGCACGACGAGGGTGTAGTTGACGCTCAGGCTGCCAAAGCCGTTGGTGGCCTTGCACACGTACACGCCGGCATCCTCCCGCTCCACCTGCTTCACCTTCAGCCCCTGGGGCAGCACACGGAAGCGGCTCCAGCCGCTGTGGATGGTGCGGCCGTCCTTGGTCCACATGGTCAACGGCGGTGGATCCCCCTCCACAGGGCACTGCAGCCGCACGGTACGGCCCAGCCGGGCCACCTGCCGTGGGACCACCTTGTCCGCCATCCTGGGAGGGCCTGCGGGTGGGTCCAAGGAACAGTCAACGAGGAGGGGCGTGGGGTCCGGAGCCAAGGGGGATCGAAAGGGGACCCACGGCCCAGCACAGACCTCAGGCCTGAGCTCCACCTGGGTCGCCTGCCCAAGGTGAGTAGAGGGGCCCAGGCGCAGTGCCCCCGACCCAGGCCTCAGCTGCCCACATGCACCAAAGCCCCTGAGTGCTGGCCCACTGAACACCACATCAGCAGCCTCTCATGGCCGGGGCGGCCCTGTGGTCCCAGAGGCCGGCTCTTTGAGACATGAGAGGGGAGTAGGGTCCCCAGAGGATGCAAAACAGCTGTGCTTGGTAGCCCTCAAAACCCACCAGCCAAGAGGGCAGGGGCTCCTCCTGGTCACACAGGAAGCAGCTATACACCCTAGGTCAGAGGGGACAGCGGCCCCCCAAGGACAAGGGCGGCAGGGGGATGGGGGGCCTGGTGGGTCCCAAAGAGGCTCCAGGCCCCTCACCCAACTCCCACCCAACCATCAGCCCAGGGCCCAGCCGGGCCTGGACACAGGCCAGCAACCCCACAGCTATCCACACGCAATCGGGCACAGCAGACCGCCTGCACACAGGCACTTTGTGGATGAGAGTTTGTGCGGCACCCACGTTTCTGTCAGTATCAGACCTGAGTTCAAGGACCACAGATGCCCAGGTCTGCCCACCCCCAGCGCCCTACCCTGCCAGGCACCTTAGCCTTGAGGGGGCATGACCCCAAGGCCCCGGGGTCAGAGGGCAAGCCTCTGGAGCAACAGTGGCTGGGGCTGGCCATGGGCACTGCCGGCTCCTGTCTGGCTGGCAGCCCCGAGGCTGTACCTGGCAGCCAGTATGTCCCCCCACTGCCTGTGAAACCCACAGGAGCAGACAGGCTGCAGCTCCACATGGCCACCCACTCTACCCCACCCCACGTGGAGAAGCCAAGTCCTCCTTTCCTGGCAGAAAGAAACGACCCCGTCCCCTGCCCGGGTCCCCACCCCACCCCGTCCCCTGCCTGGGTCCCCACCGCACCCCGTCCGCTGCCTGGGTGCTTCTGAGCTGGAAGGCAGGGCCAGGGCCCTGTTTGTGTGTGACCGGCCGCAG